AGGTCACACCTAACAGAAAATGAATGAATGCAAAACAAAACAGAGGCAAGAGACCAAGAGATAAAGAGCTGGGAGCTGGAGAGATGCAGTCCAGGCAAAGCAAGGGGCCCCCGCACCTCGTTTGGGCGACCTGTGCTGCACGCGCTTTGTTAGCCATTCACGACAAAGGTCTGTTTGACCACCGAGATATATATATATTAAAAAAAAAAATCTAAATAAAGAAATAAAGCATGAAAGCCCGAGTAACATGTGATTTGGCAAGACTGAGAATGAACCCGACTTAGCACCAGCGTGCCATGAGTCGAGACTCTCTGAAGTAAAGACGCCGGGACGGGGCACGAGGTCACAGGCGTGTCCCCCCAAGTGCCCCGGCAAGGCCAGCTGGCGTGGCGTGGCGTGGCACAGTGCCGCGGGAAGTGAGCCCAGCACGATAAAAACGTCACACTTCGGAAAATGAAGTTCCATCGGGACAGCGTTTATGGAGCACGAACACACCTGGCGACAGGAGGCCGCGCTGTATCATTAAAACAAACAACCTAGGAGGGATTCTGAAGCGTCGAGTTAAATGTTGACTTTGGCTTAGTTATGGCGGCAGGCAGGTAGTGGGGGCCAGAGGGCAGGGGAAGCTGCTTTAAAGAGGAACGCTGCACTCTCACAGGCGGGGGCCCCAGACGCCGACCCATCAAAAGCAATAAAAGCCAATAAACAAAAACACTCCCCCTAACGCCCACCCGCCCGCTTCCCGAGAGCGGATGTGCTGATGAAAAAAGGCCTGGGTACGAGGTGATAAAAGGGGACAGGGCACGGGTGACAGCTGGGTTAAGGCACAAGTCGTGTTTGAGAACAGGCAGCGACATCAAACAAAGGGTTAGCGGGAAGACGCGGACAGACGCGTCTCGGAGGAGGATTTCTGTCGCGGGGAGTAGATGAGATACGCGCTGGGCTACTGACAGGGCCTGGGCCCGGCCGCCTGTGGAGTTAGGTAGAGGATTAAGCCACGTAAACTTTGAAGCTTAAGACAATACCTTTCAAAATTAAACAGATTACAGAAGTCCCTCTGACAGGGGTCTCCGAGGCCTGTGCTATGTTAATGCCTCTCTCTCTCTCTCTCTCTCTCTCTCTCTCTCTCTCTCTCTCTCAGAAGCCAGAGGTCGTATTCTCACACACATTCATCCATGTCTCAAACAGCAGGCGAAGCGTTCATTTTAGCTACATACTTAAATAACGTTCCTCCCGTAAAAATTCGGATGCATTTCTGCCACTTAGTTCCCGGGGAAATATTTCAATTTGAAGTCACGTGGCATCTTGCATACCACAGCACTTCTTAACAGTATACTATCAAATCATATTGTGTCATATTCAAAATCTAAACCTGATTAAAAAAACCCATAAGAGTAAACATTTGGCTCAATAACTCTACTGTTTGCCCAAAGAGGGCTGACATAGATGCAGCTATAAATAGTGTCATTTTGGAACGGTGCTCATAAACGGTGACATCACTGAGGTAATGACCACCGGACCAGGACCGTCAGCATCTGGAACAGAAGCCATCTGTGCACGAGACCCCCCCCCCACACCACCAAAAGGGCGACGTTTTCAGGGTCGGGACGGCCAAGTGGGGGTGGCAATCCACCCCGCCGCTCGTCATCACCGGAGGAGCCGATCCGCGGTACCGAGAAATCAGGGCGGCGCCACAGACAGGGCTTAATGTTTCCATGGTGAGCTGATGCGGCGAGGAATCCGGCAAGGGGGGGGGGATGCAAATTACCTCCCGCGAGGCTGGGGGGAGCGGGGGTGGGGGGGGGGAAGGGGAGCCTTGCTGGGAGGCAACGCGGAGCTAATGAGGATAATGGTTAATGTATACAAAGGAAAATGAGGAGCCTCATCATCCCAATTAATGCCGTCTTAAAGCAGGACAGGCTGCACCGTGGCGAGTCACCGCATGAAAGGCGCTGCACGCCGTACCGCCGTTACCCTGACGAGGGGCTCCACACCCAGCCACGCCGCTCATCAATACCTGACCGCTTCCACGCTGAAAGGGAATCTTTAATGCCTCGATCCATGCATCCGGACATGGGAACGACAACGTGTTCGTTTAATAATGTGCAGCGACGTGCACAGGTCAGTAGAGTCCGGGCAGAGGGGACAGCTCGCCGATGACAGGTGGAAATAAGTGACACCGACAAACACACGGCTAGATGAGAAGCGGGTCACACGCAGGGACCGCTCACGGCGAATTCCGACTGGATTCCTGCCGCCATTCCCAAAGCTGCAATCCCACCAGCCGCCAGAAGATGGCTCCAAAACTAACTGGCCAGAGAGGCCTTTACTCCACTGTAGCCAAGGTCCCTTCTGCAAGGTCTTACTCAGGTACAGCCAACTAACAAAAGGGTTTTTCCAAAATAAGGGACCAACATATAGCTCATACTAAACACAGACATGCTAAAAATATATATTCTACGTATTTTAAAAAT